ATATTAAATTTTCATCTACATGTAATTGTGTATACAATTAATGTCCATTATTTTATTCATTATTATTGTATGGCATACTGTATAGAGTAAAATTTTGGAGGGCCATTTTGATAGCGATTTGCCAAAATATAATTTGCCATTTTGAGCCATTGTACACATGCTCAATGGTAAGTGGCCAAAATTTTTCTAAATTAAAATTTGCCAATCATCAAAATTTAGCAATTTGCCAAATTTCAGTCTCTCCCGAGTTTCCCACTATATAGTAAAGGTATTTTGTAATGATTTTTGTAAGATCAGCTTAAAATTTTTGGAGGACCATTTTTAGAAATGCCTTGTACTATATCCCATTCTTTTATCCAAAAAATGGGCCCAAAATCATCCCCAATTTTTATTCTAGTTTCTGATACTTTACATATACATTGATGTCCTTATGCTATCTAGAAAGTTTGAGCTGATTCTGATCTGAAACTTTTGTTATACATGTACATGTATGGCCATTTTTGAAATGGGCCAATTTTTGAAAATACTGCAACCTTTTTTGCAGTCAGGCATTCATACAAGATTTTTCATTGAGGAGCCAACATGATGACAATTAATGACAATGCATTGTTCTTATGTTATTAGTGATACATAAGTCTTTATTAACAAGACAAGAAGGTATTAAAAATATTCCAATATGTAATACCGTATAGCGGATAATTTCCGTGGCTCAAAATTTTCATGGATTTAGCATTTTTTCAAAATTCACGAAAATGAAATCCACGACAATCGATTCAATACAGTTCAAGATGGCTGAAAAATAGATAACCACAAAAATAAAAGCCATGAAAATAATTTTTGAACAGATCCACAAAATTTTTGGGCCGCAAAAATTTTCCGCTATACAGTATACTCACTGATTCACACAATTACTAATCCCATTCCTACTCTCATGCAGTCTCTCACCTTCACTACCTGTACAAATAGTAATATTCATGTGAGCCAATTTTTGTGTTGTGTCTACAATAGAATTACATTAGAGGTGGTTTAAATTTTGTGAGCACAAAAATAATAATAATTAATACACCACAAAAATTACCACATATACATTACATGTACATGTATAATGTATAACGTATTAGTGAAATTCTGTACTAGTAATGTTTCTTTTCTATTTTTCTGTGGCTATAGATTGGTCTCCTTGGTCTACAGATCATTTAGACAATGGACTCGACTAATGGACTGAAGAATGCTCAATCAGACAAGAAGATAATGGCTGCCACTGACCAAGCATTCCTTGACATGCTCAATTCTCTCATTGAAATGATGACACAAGAACTGAACAAGATTGACAGAATAAAGTACGAGACACTGATCACAATGCACCTTCATCAGAAGGACATATTCAATGACCTGGTAAGACATTGTACACTGTTACTTTCTAAAATTGCTCCAAAATCACTCCAAATTTTTATTACATTTTCTGATACATATTGATGTCCTTATGTTTTGTTGAAAGCTTTTTGTTAATTCCAACTTCAATTTTTTTAGTTACTGCCATTTTAAGAAAACGTTAAAAATCTGAAAAATACCCATGGCTATAGCTCACGGTTTTTTTTTTACAAAAAATGGCCAAAAAATCACTCGAAATTTCTATTACATTGACTGATACATATTGATGTCTTTATGCTGTGTAGAATGTTTGAGGTGATTCCGGCCTCAATTTTTCAAGTTACAGCCATTTCAAAAAATTCCAAAAATATCCAAAGCTATACATGTAGCTTTTAGGTACATGTAGATCTAGAGGGAGTTTAGGAGACTTTTGGTCTCTCATACTTAGCTTAGGTGTCCTTAAGTCTCTCATTTTTAGTTAGATTGATCTCACAAAATTTATTTCCAGATCTACATGTACACATGTACATGTACACATGTACATGTAGCTCTAGAAATAAGTTTCCAAAATACATTTTGAAATTTTGGTCCATTATTGAGATGCAAATTAATTCACTATGTAAACATGTACATGTAATGAAGTACATGTACTACATTTATAGTATACGTTAAATAGAGATTGTATATCACTTTAATTATTTATTGTTTTCACATCATTGACTCTTCACGTTGGCCTTGGGTAGCTTAGAATAGCAAGCATAATAATAATGATAATTAATAATGTGAAAATTGATTGCAATAAAAGGTAAAGTTTAATTATAATTGTGCTACTGTAGCTAGAAATTTTGGATTAGATAAATTAGGCAAATTGCTTTTTATGCCGGAAGGTTTGGCAATTAAAAATTGTATTCAAAGGCTGTTTGTTCATGTTTACCATACCCTCATCTCAAGTTTAGATTTTGTTAATGGTGGGCCCTTTCCCTATAATTTGTTCAAATTTGACTTGTCCAAATTTTCTACCTGGTAATGTGGTAATTATGATAGCAATCACTTGTTATCTGGTGGTCCTGATTTCTCTGTTAGATTGTGGGACCTCTACAAAGGAATATTGTTCCACACTATTGCAGTTCATGGTGGGGTGGTCAGTAGCATTGTAACATGTCCTCCTCATATTAATGTAAGCTTTGCTCTCCCCCTCACTCTTTCTCTCTCTTTCTCTCTCACACCAAAGCATTCAATTGCTAATACATGTACATGTACATGTACTTGTAGTACATGTAATACCAACATGTAGTGCCCATTAAGTGTATAGTAATTAATATTCATGTACATGTAATTATTTTCACTGAAATACATGTGTATGTACATTTTCATATATTGACTACTTACATGTCCATGTACATGTATAAGTTACTAATGTGCTAAAAAGTATTGTAAATGTT